AATAAGAATCACACACAACAACAGCCGACAAACCGCATCTCCGTCACCATGGTTACAGTGATGATCATTCAGGGAGGTTATGTTTCAGAAGTGATGCTGGTTTGGAACAAGATTAGTTCTTTCTTATTGCCACAGGATTTTCTGTTGTCATGGTTACAGTCATTAAGTTGGTAATATAATGAATAAATACATCAAATATTGATAAATAAACCAGATCCAACCAAAGTGCTACTCTGGGTCATAACCAGACTGTAAATAAAAACCAAAGCCTCGATTTGTTTCATCCAAATTAACGAATGACGGAAACCAATCGTAGCTGCTTCCTCTGGCGCCCCCCACAGGACAATTAAGTGTATAAGAAAACAGCATCGTCTCCTCAGCAGCCTCCGGGCGTCGACTGCAGAGACTCGCCTGACGTTTCCTGCTCAGAGTGAAAAGTGCTGACGGTGTTGACAGTAACCAGATAAAAATCCAGAGAATAATCAGATGCTGCAGGTTTCATCCGTCGACCAAATCAGGTCAGAGGAGAGATGCTGATGGTTCAGATTACATCACAAGCAAACCACAGCACACGCCCCCACTGCATCTACACGCAAACAGGAAGTCTCACAATCAAATCACAATGATTCATTTATTTCAAATCATCTTTGTTCACTATTCAGTCATAGAAATCTTCTTAGAAATTTTAAAACAGTTAAAACAAAAAAGTATTTTTTAGGGCCACATTTATTATTATTATTATTATATTTTTTTGTCATTAATTACAAGAATAAAGTCGTAAATATTCTAACTCGTTGTTTTAGAGGAGGAGAGAATCAGGGCCGTGGAGCATTTTGTGGAATTGTACTTTAGTTTAGGTTTCACAAACAAGGAGATACTTAATCTTTTGGACTTTATTCTCATAATTTATTCCGAAAGTAATTTTTTTTTTAATGTGGCCCTAATACTCCGTCATACAAAATATATATAAGTGCAGATTTTTAATTTCAATTTTCAGTCAGGAGAAAGATGTTTTTTTTTGTCCATCTGTCACAGTATCTGTTATCGCCACCAGGGGGCACAAAAGTTAACATGTTCACTAATTCTAACAGCTTCAAAAAACATCTTGGAAACATCGAGTCATAAATTAATCCTGAACCAACAAGTGACGTTTTTATATGAAGATCAGAAAATATTTAAGAAACCAGAGATCAGTGACTGGAAACACGTTTGTAAGTAGGTGAAGGGGTGTGTGTGTGTGTGTGTGTGTGTGTGTGTGTGTGTGTGTGTGTGTGTGTGTGTGTGTGGTGTGTGTGGTGTGTGTGTGTGTGTCTCCCTCAGATCTCTGTAGCCTTTTTAAATCGAAATTCTTTCTTCTTCAGTTGTAATAAATGTTTTTCTCTCATTCAGGTTAAAATAAACTTCTAAATGTTTTTTAAAACCGTGACGAGTGAACATGTGAAGTTTTCAGTCAGGAACACTACGTCGTGATTACAGTTGTGATCGGCGCTGAAGGCTCCATTCTTTGGACGTTCCCTGGATTAGCCGAGCAGCGTGCTAAGA